AGTGCCTTTAGCGCTCAGAACAAACTCTCTGCAATCTAAATTTGTAATCGACTGTACAACACTTTCACGACAATAGTTCTCCTGTGTCTAGGTATACTTTGAGTGAAATTGTTCCTATTTGATTAATATTTGGCTTGAATTGATGATTCAATCACAAAAGTAAGTTCAACAATTTTCCTTTGGAAAATCCCTTGTTTACAGAACTTGATTTGACTTCTACGACAATTCTGTGTTGAATGCAGTACTTTGGGACATCTTGTATTATTCCCTACTGCATCATAACAACATTGATATCCACACTTGTATAGGGTCATTCCCTTTTTGTGTGGATGTAGATTGTCCGACAGACTCGTCGTCCGGCATACTTGCGTCGAATCCCGACATCACGATCAAAATCCGATCGTACGTGTCAAAAACTTCATACTTGAATAGTTTCTTTTCGGAACGTAAAAACTCATATTTTGTCATATCCCAACAGCGGTCAAGGCAACGGCGCAGGCCCGTACATTTGGGTTGCAATCAGTGCCATCCTCATTGACGCCATGGAGGCCGAGGGATTTGGGTACAAGAGCCGAACTGCCCTCACTAACAAGGAGTTCTTTGCTTCGTGCTTCTGCTTTGTTGATGACACCGATGTCATGGAGTCCAACGACAACGTGGAGACGACTGGCGAAGACCTCCTCCCTTTGGTACAATCGGCTTTGGACCTTTGGTCGGGTGGCATCAGTGCCACTGGTGGAGCTATCAACCCGGCGAAGTCCTTCTGGTGGCTGATTGATTTCAAATGGCGGCCGTCCTCTGGCACGTGGGTGTTTCGAAGGAAGGCTGAAATGCCTGGCAAACTGACCCTCCAAGACCCGACTGGGCCGTGGGCGACACTACGACGCCTCCAACCCGATGAAGCTGAACGGACCCTGGGAGTCATGATGGCCCCACTTGAGACCGGAACTGCACAACACCTTGCCCTGCGGGAGAAGGCCAAGAACTGGGCAGCCAAGTTCCGTCCTCAACACCTACTTCGCTATGACGTCCTTCCCTTGCTCAAGGCAACCGCCTTGAAAACTTTGGAGTATGTGATGCCCCTTTCCACACTGGGCCGCTCCGACTGGGTGTCCATCATGTCACCGATCCTCCAAGCGAGTTTGCACAAAGCTGGGGTTTGCCGTTCCTTCCCCCGCGTCATGGTCTTTGCCCCTCTGAATTACCAGGAACACGCGGCAGAACAATGATTTTTGTCATTGTTCGGAGAGCGGACAGACCTTCTCCAGTCATTTTCGAAATCCATGTGATCACATGGGATAAGAAGATTAACTCGTACTTAAGAGCAAAAGCTAATGATGACCAATTATGATTAGTTCAAACTCATATTTCGTCATATCCCAATAGTCAGAATTGAAATGGTTTTGTGCCATGGGAATCCCAAAATCAAACTCGTATACCAGGGAATTGCCTGTAGAGCCAAATGCACAGACGCAACCATTTTTACCCCAGTGCCAATTGCATTGGTACCTGGTGCACATTTGAGTATTGAATTTCATTCTTGTCAATTTGATCGTTTTTCCTTCCTCGACAAAGAAAAATGTTTGATTCGGTGGTGCATTTTTGGAGCCTGATATGCAATCCAGGTACAGTTTAGAATAATCACACAAATACCCTTATTTTCAAACCTAGACATCTTTTCAGCTTTTGTAAAATTCTTCATTTTCTTCAATTAAAAAAATTTGGAATGAGGTTTACCCTGAGATCTTTTTGTAGATTGTTAACATTGAACATTGTTCATAAGCTGACCTAAGTTGAGAATTTTGGTTTTTGAAAGTGCTTTGGACAAAATTATGGGGTCAAATACAAATGATTTCAAACATCAGGGGTGGTGGACATTAACTGCCCAAGTGGAGAAATACTCACAAAACACCGGGTTTGGCATTTATAGTTTCTGGTGGGAAAATGAGCGGAAGCCGACAGCATCCACCCATTTTCCTGTGAAGATTTGCGTCTCGGGCAGCTTGGACGGATTCTGTTAGTTCGGTAAAACGGAATTCTGTCATCCAGCATCAATGTCGTGCCATCAATTGGCATTAGCTGATGAATATCCTTTGAACAGTTCACAAGAATGCCACCAAGAAATTTGCTGGAATCTTTCACACTCCTTGCAATGATGTCCATGGATGCTACCAACTCAGCACTGACTGCTCCAAACTCATCAATATACAGGAAATGAAGCTCATGCCAAAAGTGTAGCAGCTCTGGTCATTGGTACATGCTAATAAGGTCAGCTTTCGCGGTACGACCAGGAGACATGTTTTGGCAATTGCTTATAGGTATTGCACATAGAAGGTGGATGTGCATCCCACCAAGTGCCTTACTTCTATCAGCAACGATGCTTGTTGTTATTCCCTTCAATCCTCTGGACATTGTGAATGTCGCAGTGTACACATCTTTGACCTTCAATGGTTGCCAAATACCTTCTTTTCAAACTAGTCAGCTTGCCCGTACTTCTTCTAGGACAAAATGCAGCTATGCGAGCACAGATGTAGGCACAATCATGCAAATCAGCACCTTCGTATCAACATGAGTGCAATGCATCATTCTGAACCCAGAACTTTTGGCCTTTGTGTTGAACAAACATTTGCCTGTTATCAAGGTTCCCTGACACTAAACATTGTAACTTGAAAGACTCAGCACAATCCGTTGTTACTTCCGGATACTTTGGACTGACACATATCACAACCTCTTTACCTTCTAGTTCTTGGTCAGAAGCTTCAACTTGTGACAATGATTCCTCAACAACAAATACAGACTTGCAAGAACAAAACAGGTCAGCAGTCTTCGCTTTGTCATTTAGTGTATCCTCAAGCCAAACAGGGAAAATATCATGAACCTTTTCCTTGGCCAGTGCTGGGAAATACCAAGACTTTGCTGTCTTCCCTGGAATAGTAAGCACATTTGATGCAAACTGCAATCAAAGTCCATGCCATGATCTATTATGTTCCACAGATCTTGCAATCGCTTGCCACAGGTCCCGCACCATTCCTGTGATACATAAGACCATCCAAAACCCAAAGTCGCCATTAGTCACTTTGTGAAAACATTGACCATGACCGTTTAGCGGATGAACCTCAACAAAATATGATGACCAAGGAGGAGCAAACAGTTTTTTGGTAAAGTGATCTCCGTCATCTTCAAAAACTTTGATAGTTTTTTAGGCTTCTTTGGACATCATTTCCTGCAGTTTTACAACGACTTCACAAGGCACAAAAGTTGAAGTTACTGTTTCCGGCAACTCCATCAGGTCTGGATATTTCAGTTCTGAAGCCCTGAAAATAGACTCATAGTGTCTCTATGTACAACAGGCTATTCTTGTCTGTTGATCTCTCATTGATCTGAGCCCTAATGTCTGGGCGGGCTTGAATACATTATTTGGACCAGAGAGTGTCCGTCATTCGTAGGTATATAGTTTAACCTAGAGATTTGCACACATCTTGTAAAATCCCCATGATTGTCATTGTACTCGTTTTTGTCCTGAATCTCTCGTACCTCGCTACTCAATTTAACGGTTTATCAGACCCAAGCAATCCACAATGGATAGAGGAGCCTGGGAAGGCTTTCGAATAATAACTGTTTTAGGAAATCACCTCATTCAGCCATGGTTAGGATCACCATCGTCATATTGATCTCGTGATTTTTTTCATGCCACAATTTCGGCCTTCCGATGCGCACCGAAGGCTAATCATGTTGCAGCATTTATTAAATTGTTTGCTAGCAAAGGCTAAAGGGCAGACGTGCCATGCATGCAACCATCCATGCCATGTTTATATACAGCGCTCAATATGAGATGCTTTGACATTTAGGGCTAAATTATCTGAAGTTACCAGATATCACCAACGTTTGCCTTCTGGCGATTCTCTCAATGATTTCTGACTTCAAGTCCCACACAATTTGACTCTGAAACCAAACAACAAAAACAACAAAAATTTGCCAACACATCATCACATCACAATGGCTGCTGTTATTCAATTTTGTAACTGGGGAGAAATCGATCTCCTTATTTGACCTGTCCTCATGCTACACATGACTGGTGTTGAAGGTCTTGACTCTGTTGATTCCTTTGCCAACAGAACCACTTCTCAAGTTCGTGAAGATATCAAATCTATGCAAAGAGCTCCAGATCCCAACAATCCAAATGCAACTATTGGAGTCACTACTTGCAAAGCGATGACTATCCATTGTATCTTGAAATATGGGAAGCTCCTCATTTTGGTTCAGCAAACCCATACACTAGCCTTTGGAACCATCCCAAATCTCCTTTTTATTGGTCAATTCTATCATGAAAATCCGGATCTCATGGAAGGGGACTACTACCCAATTCCTCCTCATCCTCCAAAGTTCAACAATTGCGATGGTCAAATCATGATGGAAAACATGGAAAGTTGGGCTTGTACTGCCTATGGATTCCGTGGAATCCGCCTTGATTATATTTTCCGTGAAAAATCTGCACTTCCAGTTGTTGGTGACCCTGGTTTCCTCCAAGCCGACGACGTCTCTCGCTCCCCCATTGAAGAAGAACTTGTCCAACATGCTGCCCATACTGGTGCTGTGTTCCGTTGCAACAACCAGAAATTTTGGGTTATGCTCCAAGCCGTCACTCATGAAACCGATGCTTACAATCACGTTTGTCAATTTGCTCCAACTTTGAATGGTTGAGCTGCTTACTTCGCTCTTTTTGCACAATATTGTGGAAGGGGACATTTCACCAATGAACGCCAAGCTGCTGTCCGTGTCCTTGCAACACTTCACTGGAACGGTAAAGCTCAAGGCTTCACTTGGAATAATTTATCAGTCGCCTTATTGGAGCCTTCAATGACCTCGAGTTGAACGGTGAACCACACTCTGATGCAAATAAGGTTGACGTACTTCTTGAGAAAACTGTTGGAAATTCCTCACTCTCCAATGGAAGATCACATATTACTGGAGATGCTGTTCTCCAATCAAATTTCAAAGGTGCCATAACCACAACACCCAGCGCCGCAATTGACAACTTGCTGCTTTCACACGTGGTGGTGGTTCATTTTTCACCTCAGTGTCATCAGAGGAAGTAAATAACCCTGCATGAATGTAGGCTTTCTTCATGTTGCCTTGATCCATCAAGCCGTATTCAGTTTCAAAATGACCAAACAAAAGGAGGATGAACACCAAAAACCGACCTCTGTTCTTTGGAAACACAGGTGTGGTCCACGGAGTAGGAAGCACCATAGATTTATCACACAATAAAAATGATTTTGATATTGTGTTGTATTGGTTTCTTGAGCTTTCTTGTGTTGTGCGGCGGGCCCCTAGTTCATCCTCCTCAACATTCATGGCACTCAAACTGGTTCTGTAGTCTTTCAATTTGCATGAGTAAAGTAATCCTTTTGTGGCGCTGACGCACCACCAAAGTAGTCCCTGTCACATTCTCTTGTATAATCAAGTATTTCTGACAATGCACCCCTCCGCAAGACAATGTGCATGATCATGCAGTCAATCCAGTAGCATTTCATCACATCTAATCTCAGTCTTTTTCTTAGCCCTTGTGTCAATGTGTCTTCATCATGGTGAAGAGACTGCCTTTTAAACCACCAAAAAAATAACCAAACGCTGTCAACAAAACGTAGCTCTGGGGGGCAAATACTGAAAACGGTGACAGTGTCAACTGTGAGGGATGGGGATCTTTTGTCAAAAATCGGAAGAAAACAGGTGATACTGCGGAATGTTCCTATCTTGACTGATTTCTTGATTGGTGTTTGTGAGGTAAGCGACATGATCCGGAACATTGTCCACATTGCATTGCCCTCTCTTGAAAAGTGCGGGGCGATATTCTTGTGGTGATGTTGAAAAATGGACAAACGGAACCGACAATGTTACAAGGTCTTCACCAAGAATAACAGAGAGACATTCCGTCTGAGTTACAAGTCTCTCAGAATTCGAATTCTTCTTTCTAGTTCAACTAGCATGGATTTTATTTGAAGTGATTTTTGTGTTGTGAAGCTCTTCAATTACTCCTCTAGCACGGGTCTTCTCAAACTTTGCTTGTGGTTTCAACTCAACCCTTGCAACATCATCCATCTTTGTCACATATTTCACCAAATAAGCGCCTATCATGTGTCCTGTTGTATATTGGATGTTCTGCAAACTTGGGAATCAAGCAAATAGGTTTCCATTGGTAGGAGAAAACTTTTTATTATCAACGGAGCATATCAGAACATGGAACTCTGACAGTAGGCAGTCATCAAGTACAAGATCCCCGTCCATCATCCCAAGGTTGTTGTAAATATTAATGGCGTCTCTTGTGTGGGAGACTTTGACAGGTTCAATAATGTGCTTATACGGTGTCAGAGTCTTGTAGTAGTTGTCCTGTGCCCTGCAAACAAAGCAAGTTTCCCCAGTTTGTGTTCTTGTGCAAGGAATCTGGCATCTTGTGTTGCAGCTGTGTATCAAATAAGATTTTGCCTGGTCAAGAATGTCAATGAAATGATCTAGAGAGGAAATCAGCCCCTTCCCTTGCATTTCTAAATACTCCTGGTAACGGATGAGTTCATCGACACAGCCTCTGATTTTGCTGAGCACGAGTTTCAACTCACTTGGATTATCGACATTATATGATGTGCGAAGTATGGAGTGAATATGCGCCAAGTTACCTTGAGTATCTGTACAAACCATGCAAGACAACAATACCGAGTGAAATATGATGAAAGGCAAACAGGAAAATCAAAGCAACTGGGTTGCTAACCTTGGAACTCTTTCCGGTACCATGCATAGTCTATTGGACCCAAAACATATCTGCAACTTCGTTCCAACCACGGGATACATACGATGCAGTAGATTCTCTCAAGTAATGTGACGCTTCATCTATGTCCAATCCATATTTTGCGCAGATCAACATTTTTGCTTCCTTTGAGATGAGCCATTCCCTCACCACACGCAAGCCACTGCATGTTTTCTGTTTGCAGGTCTGAGTGAAGAAGAAATGGGGCCTCCTTTCTTTGACAAATGCCGCCAACTTATGAAGCTTGGCATGATTTTCTGATGTGTTGCCATAAAGTTCTGCAGAGTCGCTTCTGTCTTGAAAACTCACACCGTCTTTTTGCTGGTGGTCACAAAAGCCTCTTTGTAATACCAAGCAAGTGTGCTCCCATTTGCTCCTTGGTTTGTTGGTTGATCAAGTAACATAAAATGATAAGCAGGATCAACCAATGTTGGGACTGCAGGATTAGAAACTCTCATCTTGGCATTGTCTCTCATACTCCCAATACCAAGCTTTTTCAATGTCTGCTTGTTTGACCATAGTGCTTTTGGCATGGCACCAGGGATAGAGCCATCATCTAAACTGTACCAAAAAATCGTCGGAAATAACTGCATAGACCAGAGGAAATACCTTTGATTCTGCCGTTAAAATGCGCTGCTAGTCAGCCAAAACAGATCAATTACTGGACGAAATATAGACAAGAAAACTTGTGACTACCAGATCCTTTCAGACTACAAAACTACACGTATGGAGGACAGACCACATACTTCCCAAAATAATGGTCCCCTCAATTTTGACTTGATACATGAATCAAGAAACATTGTAACAATAACGCCCAAGCCGACACAGTCCAAGGATGACCATGCCCACTGAAAAGCAAAGGCGACTCATCGGCTTTAGTGTGGAGGCAGACCAAAAAGCACATTCAGAGCTTTGATCGCAGATTGTACCACTCTTGGAATTTTGTCTTCTTCATACATAATAAATTCCACCAGACGAGCATGTTCTCTACCAGTATGAATCTTTTGTCAACATATTGGCAAGATTTGTTTTGGTTCCTTCCCAAGCAACCCGAATAAGATCACTTGCACATTTTGAACAAACATAGTGATAAGCAACAGAATTGCTTTTCTTTTTCAAGACAGATTCCGGGCCACTTGCGTTCATCACAACAGAGTTGTTATCAACAAGAGTATGGCAATGGCCATCAATCGGCATGCCCATCATTTGCAATTTGTATACTAGACCTTCAACCAATTCAACACCAGTCTTCAATGCAGCAAATTCACTTCCAAAAGAACTGGTTTCGACAGCATTCTGCTTCTTCTAATACTAAACGATCGGTGCATGATTTAAGAGGATAAGAACACCTGTTCTGGATTGACGTGTAACAAGATTGGAAGCATGTGAGGCATCAACAAACATCACAATCTTTACCGCTCGTCCGAGGGCTTCTGGCATATCAGGAGGCAGTACTTCTTTTGCCCATGGATAGAATTCATGCCATTCAGATTTTGGTATGTTGGTCAGAGCCATATATGCGGAATCCATGACAATCTCGCGGCTTGGATGTGTTTCAAGATAACCAAAAAGGTATAATACCGCATGAAAGTGTCCAACACGAGGCATGGCATTGTACAAAGACATCATTGAGACTTCAGCACAAACGTCCATTCTTCCAAGCTCAAGCAACCACCGTAATATACCAATCAGTTGCATATACAGTGTGTGTGTCTCTGCGTCAACAAAATCAGTGTTGTCAAGCTCAGGCTTATAACCAGAAGGTAAGGCAGCTGACACGTTTCTTTTCAAATTCAAGTTGTATTTTTGATGTGAGATTCGAGACTTAACGACACGTAATGCTTCAAGCAAATAGTTAGTCGAACCAATCAACCAGCATTTTCGAGAATCACTTGGGTCAACAAAACATTTTGAAATTGTTGCACCAAGGAATGTTGTAGGCTCTGCAATTGAATCAGGCTTGAGCATGTAATGCGTTCCAAGCTTCTCCAATATAGCACAAGGATTTTCAGAAACAGCCATAAGGTCATCGGTGTAAACAGATATATATTCGTAATATTTTTTGCCGTTTGACTTCAAGGCGGGTTTTCTCCAAACACCCATATCACCACGACACTGTTTGAACTCCATTTCTTCTCTCAGAGTCTTAGAAAGCGTAGATCTCCATGAGAACCCGGAAGATTTTAATCCATAGAGTGCTTTCTCCACAACAGCAGTGCGACCCTCAAGGTCTCCAAACTCGGGTCCA